TTTTGCACTGCTTATGTTTCAGACTCTGTCAGCCTGGGACTCAAGGAGCTCCACCTTCCTCTCAGCCATGCCAGAGAACTCACCTCAGTGATGGGAAGGTCTACCTCCATTTACGACCCTCCCTGATTCCACCGAGGAGCTGGAACTGCTCAGGAATGACAGAAGTATGTGCTGGGGTTGGAGGGTTTCTGGCACATGACCTGCTAACCTAGAATTTGCTCGGCAAAGTCCAGAGCATGACTTTTAACCTCAGAGCAATTTGCAAAACCACATCTGTGACCAATAAATGTGAAAAATAAATGAAAACAAAATCTAGCCCTATTGAAAGATGAAAGACAGCACACCTTGCTGGGCACTGGTGCTGGAATCAGGATGGAGATCGGGAATAATTGGACAGGCCATGTTGCCAGAAGTTGTCCATGAATGGAGGAATGCCTCCCACAAGGGAGGCAGCACAGCAGGTTAAACTGAAGGTATGTCATAGCTCTGAGTCTTAAACTTAACGAGCCACATCTTTATTTGTGCTGCAGCCCCTTCTTATCCCAAATTGCCTTTACCAGCTGCCAGAGGATGCCTGGTAATGGAAAATTCTCTGGATAACAATAAATTGGTGTAACGATTCAGTGTCACCTCACATCCTGCTAAGCAATAGAGAAATCACGACGAGAAAAATAGGCACGGCCAGAGTGGCACTGAACAGTGCAATCCTAATTCCATAACCCTTCTTGTGGGCGACAGATAACCCAGTGCAATTTCCAGCCGCTCTGAAGCGGCTCCAAGTCTCAGCAGGAGTCAGGAAAGCTCAGCGTAGCCTCGGGACTGAGGAGTCGGAAAGATCAGGGGAGCTGCTGTTCCATAACCTTGCCTCTGCACCAAAACCAGGGGGCTGGCTTACAATGGGAAGCACTCCAAGCAAAACACAAAATTTTAATCACCGAAATGAAGGTCCTCCTCTGGATTCCTCTCTGGAGAATAGTCTGTCTCTGATGATTGTGCACAGACTCGCAAAGAAGGTAAATTTTGGATTTAAATCTCTATGTCAGTGTGTGAATGACTGTTAAATCTTGGCTGTAAGGCTAAGATATATTCAAGAGGAGAAAAACACTTTTTCCACTTAAGTGGCTGAGGTAGAAGAGGTAAATATGTTGTCTCCCACTTTTAAAGGGTGAGGAAATAATTTATATATATGCATTACACCTTTGCACCTTTTAAATTCAAGAGTCTAAAAGTTTAGAAATACCAACATTAAGGTGGCCTGTGCAACTGTAATTTGTCCCTTCCATGCATTTGCATTATGATACAGTATTTAATTGTAATTAGATCACATGCTGTTCTTTCAACAGGTTTCTGACCTCACTCATTGTACAGAATAGACTGTGCTCACTAAGTAATAATTTTATTTTCTCCTTGCTGTTCGCTGTGTGTCCCGTGCTTTATTTACAGCAGACTATTCAAATATTGTTCTGAAGACAGATTTATTCATTTCCTCCTGAGCTTTTCCATGGGACTCATCACTATGGTATCCAAGTGCTTCACAAACTCTAATTCATTTTCTCAACACTGGAGCAAGAACTGGTGTTGCCCTTATTTTACAGACGAGGAACTCGAGTGTACAGACAGAATAGTAAAAAATATCTTTTCATTCCAGAGATCCAATTAGGAATACTCAATGGCCTGATTTTGTCAGAAAATAGAACATGGCCCAAGCATCTAATTGAGTCAGAAGTTGTATAAATTCTCAATTATTGCAGATTTATCTGCAAGAGCTCTTCACTTCTCCAAGTCAGGCTTCAGAATGTCAGTCCAGGCACCTGGGCAGTGCTGACTGCACAATTAGTGCAGCGCTGGGCAGGCTCTGTTTAGGGACTGTGCTTTGCATCCCACAGATTCCAGAGGGTAAAAATCCTTTCTGGGAGCAGCAGTCACCTGCCCCACTCACAGTGCTGTGCTTGCTCGCCCTACAGTTCCTCACAAGGTGCATAAAATGCCTACATCTGATTTTTATAGTAAATGAGGTGCAAGTTGTTGAGGCACTTGTCTGGGTTCCCTGAACTTGGTTCAGTGTCTGAGCCTGGCTTATCCTTCTGCACTGGCTGCCTTTATCCTGCAGTTTGATACCTGGGGCGTGTGTTACTGTGCAGCCTGAGAACTGTTGCTTTATTGAATATGTACTTCTTTCCCATGTAGAGATAACCCCAGCAATAATCCTGGGTTGACATCGATGCAGGCCATCAGCAATGTGCAAATTGCCCTGTATGAGAGATGTCATGCTTGGCACAAGCTCCAACACTCCAAGGGAGTTCTCAGTGTATTTCAGGTACCTGCTGACCATTTTCCAGGTGGTCTTCATTTCCTTTCCTAAATCCTCACCTTTCTGCTCTGCCTCCCTGCCCCAGCTTCTGTCATTCCCATTACTACTTCACTGTCTCCAGTGAATTCCCTCTTCCAGAGGCCCTGTTGCATCCCATACCCAGCCTCGGGGTCCTCCTCCCTTGCCCCACTCCAGCTCTCCCATCTGATCCCCTTTGCCCAGCAAGCTCTCCCTCAGCCCTTGACCAGGCCATAGGGACAGCTCCCAGCCCTCCCAGAAACTTCTCCCATTCCCACCAAAGTCTTCTCCCAGCAGCCTGACTTCCAGACTCTTTCTTGTGAGCTTTGCTTTATCCCTCCCTCCAGGCAGACCTGTTTTTCCTTCTGGCTCCTCATTCCCTTCCACCACCCTGGAGAACCTGTCTCTGTCCAGAGCCTCCATGCCTGCCAATTTACCTGTCACAGACCCAGTCCCCATCCCCACTGTGTGTTTTTCAAGGAGCTTCCTGCTCTGTTTCCCAAGAGGACTGGATGGACAGGTTCACTCTTCCTACCTGCAGACATGGCATGGTGCAGAGCAGCCAGGAACTGGAGCTGCAGGTCCAGCTCTGATTCCACAGTCCTGGGCTGTGACGAGGATGGAGCTGCTGGGAAGTGGAAGTGCCAGGAAGCCCCTGCTGAGAACCAGCAGGACTTTCAGGAGAGTTTTCATAATGGGTTTGAGGGAGCACCTCTGACAAAGTGACCACTCTCGTTTTCAGACTAGAAAATCCTTGACAGAAGGAACAGAAGGAGAAATGTTTATAATTTAACCTAACGTATGAACTTCAGAGTCTTGTATTTCAGCACAGTGGTTAGTGTGGCCCTATTAAACGTGACTGAGGGCAGGATTTTATGATGGGAATTGCTAACCAGCTTTAATAGGAGTTACACTACCAGTCCTGCCTTTTAATCATTGCTTCCATTTTCAGGATAAATTGCAGCTGGTTGCTGGTAATCCTTGTGGCATATCAGATAGCAGCATAACTCGGCAAGGGTAAGCTGGAGAAACCCAAACATCCTTCTGAGGAGGTAATTATTCCATTGTGAAAATGCCCTGGGATATTTTTAGTGGCCAAACCCCCTGTTCCCTGACAGAAACATAAAATAATGAAGCAAGCTTCACAAGGAGAGACGCCTCAAACACCTGTATTAGCTCGCGCTTTGCAGTCACGTCAGCATTTAATTCTCTGTGCACATCTCAGCATCCCCGTACGGCAAAACCCACACCTGCGTTTGAGGCAATGCACACTCACTCTGCCAGCGTCAGCCTCGCACAAAACCCTCTCCATAAACAAATCTGCAAATCCCGCTGGATCAAGAAGAATTTCACGGGAATATAGAGCTGCCTGCAACGAGAGGGAAACCCTTGCCACACACACCGAGGTTATCAAATCAGTTAAAAGCCTTTTTTTTTTTTTTTTGGAACGAATTATTTAAAATTAGTTTTAAAATGTTTTGTAACATGTTTTGCAGGGGATGTACCCATGTTTCACATCCTGCGGTGCCCCAGGGGTCTGGTTCTCTCCTGGTTACCTCCAGCCCTGGTCCCATGTAATTTATGTCCTGAAAGAGACCACTCAATTAGTCAACAGTAAAATGAGCAAGGACACTGTGTGCGTTGTAAAAATACAATTTAGTAGGTAACAAGCTGAGATGGAAAAAATATCAGGGTACACTCCATATGATTAATGAAGGAGGAATGTATATTTATAGTTTTTATTGTGTCCTTTGTAAGGAGACTGGATCCGGCAGTAAGGCTGGAACGGGCTGGTAAGGATGCGGCATTCCAGTGATTTGAATTTGAATGGCAAATGCTGTATAAAACTAATTACCCCCAGGAAGATGAAAATACGTTGCATTTGCCTTTTCGGAGCATATCTGGCCTTTTCTTCACATTATTTATCTTTGAGAAGCATGTTTACTAGGAGAGGCATCCCGAACAGAGCAGCAGAGTTGCTCCCCGATAAAACAAGTTTCCGCAAGTTATTTTTCTACATTTCGTTCGATTTCGGGTTTCTTGGCAGCTCTGGATTGCTGGCTCCCAGCACCATGGCAGAGCAGGGCTCCCTCTTCCCACACCCTCCGGCTCGCCACATAGCGGGGATACCCGGATTGCTGCCGAATTCTTTGGTTTTCCAGGCTTTTACGCGTGGAAAACGCGCAGGTCGCGCACCCATGCTGGGCTGGTCCTGGAGAGAGGAAAACACGGATTTATCGCGTTAAAACCCACGAACTTTACGCACCGAACGCCTGAGGGGAGGGGGGGGTGCAGCGCAGCGCCCCTCAGGGGAGGGCGGCGGCCCCGCCCCCTCGCGCGCTCGCGCAGGCGCGGTGCCGCGCAGGGGGGGCGGGCGCGCGCACACCTGGCGCGGGGGTCGGGGGCGGGAGGGGAGGGGCGCGCGCATGCGCGGGGCGGGGGTGGGCGGGAGGCGGCGCGCGCCCCGCGGGGTCCGTGTGAGGGAGGGACGGAGCCAGCGAGCGGCGGAGCCCGGCCCGCGATGGAGTGAGGGAGGGAGCGCGGCCGCTCCGCCCGCCCGCCGCTCTCCCTCCGCGCAGCCCACCCGGTAGGGAAGGAAGGCAGGAGGAGCCCCCCGGGGGAGGGGCTGGCGCTGGGTGCAGCCCGGCTGCCGGGCGCGGGGAGTGGAGCGATGGCGGCGCGGAGAGCTCGGCGGCTCCTCGGCTCCCTGTGCATCGCCCTTCTCTTCGCGCAGCCCCCACCGTCCGGCGCCGCGGCGCGGAGCGGCTCCCGGAGCCTCCTCACGGGTAAGAACGCGGCGAGACCTCGGAGGCGGCGGGCGCGGAGCCGTGCCGGGGCGCGGAGGGGTCCCGGGGGCGGCGGGGCCCGGGGCGGACCCGGCAGGGCGAGCCGAGGGTGCCGAGGGGCTGAGCCCGCTCCGCTCCCCCCGTGCGGGCACCAGCGGGGGCCACTGCGAGCCTCGGGGAGCGGCGGCGGTGCCTCCCCGCGAACAAGGGACACCTGAAGCCCCGTCTGTGAGGCATCGAACGCTTCAGCCACCTGTGCTCCCGGCTCGCTGGCACCCGCGAGGGGAGCCGGGCACACCTGAGGGGCATCGGGCTTGCAGCTCGCCCCTGAGCGGAGCCGGGCACGGGCGGGCTCTGCCCCGGCTCGGGAGGGCTGCTGGAAGCGGCACGGACTTGGTACCGGCAACCTGTGGAGAGAGAGGAACTTGCCTGGGAACTGCCGCAGTAGCCCAGAAATGAGCGGTCTGGCAGCGTTTCAGCCGCGGTAGTTCTCACACCTTTTACCATTGTTGTCTTTAATGGTCTATGATTGAATCCTGGTTCTTTATAGGCTACGGAAAACGTAATCTCACCCAGGTGAGGCAGGAGAAGGCTCTCTCAAAAGCCCTTGCATGAGACCATTAATACCACAGAAGCCTCTTTAGCTTTGCAGCGATGTTATCTGCTCGTTATGCCAAATACTGGCTTTAAAAAGTAACTTCTTTATTTCCTTCTTGCCAGCAATAAGCTAGTAGGAAGCTTGAAAGAGAATCTGGTCTCGAATGCTGAGTGCTGGGATTAAAAAAAAAAAAAATCCTCTATAGGTTGATTGAATCCTGATATTTTAAGAGAGGGCTCTGTGCAAGTGGAATATGGAAAAAACTGCTTGTCAAATGAGTGTTATTTTAGCAACCTGTTAACAATTTGGGCAAGTGAGAATGGTTAAATTCTGACATTAAATGGTGTAATTGTTCGGTTTCAAATCATATTAGGCAGGCTTTTCCACGGTGGTTCTCATCTTGGACATCACTGATGGAACCATGTGTGCTGACTCCTGTTGACAGGGAGTATTTTTATTTATCCTCTTACACAGTACAAGCTTTGCAGATTCCAGGTCTGAAGCAGATTTTTTTTTTTTTTTCTTTTGAGAAATATTGCAGTTTGACTCAAAAATCTGCAGGACATGTGTAAGAGATAAGTTATTTTTGATGTGTAAAATCTTGCCACGTGGTGATTCTTCTCTGATATTCCTGCTCTCCTGACAGCTCAGTGGTCTTATGGTTGTGTTAGTAGCTTTTTGCTAGTTTAAAGTAATCCTTTATGATTTAAGGAAATAAAATTAATAGGTGAAGTTCTGTCTGTTGGAGCCAAATATGTGAATTTAGTCTGCAGAGGGGGAGTGATGTGCTGAAATGATGGGGAATAAAACCTTCATTGGAGCTGTTTATCAGGGCAGGAATTTAGGAGTAGTACTGTGGAAATCTTGGAAGTTCTGGTGAGCTCCTCCTCTCTCTCTGTTGCAGAAGGTTCCTTTATGTTGTGTCCATGGATGCTGTCCTGTGGCATCCCTGGGGAGGACCAGGAGCTGGGCTTTCCCTGTCTGAGGGGGTTTGTACCAGTTACTTAGAGGAAAGGGAGAAAGATTCTTAGTTTTTTTTTCTCAATAAAGAGGAGATGCTTCATGTGTAGTGGATGAACTTCATTTTAATTCACGCTATTTCCCATCTAATTGCTACTAGTTTTTCTTAAATATGGGATGTTCTACGTACTTTTATGTGGGAAGGTGCTCATAAGAGAGGGAGCTGGGTGCAGATGTTCCATGGCACGAAAGTTCTCCCCTTGGAATTTAGATATGAGGGGGGTAGGGCTGTCTTCTGTACCATGCTCTGGGTGGAGCTTGGTCTCTTCAGGTTGCTGGGAAGAGCCTCCTTAGGCTGATGCTGAGGGCTGGAGAGGCAGGGGAGCACCAGGTTTATAGGTCCAGGTGGAGCTTTAGCTGTGGGATTCGCAGCTCTTCTTGTCAGGGCTGAAGTGCTGCTCTCTGTGTCCAGAACAGGGGGTTTTAATGCCCAAAAACCCCCCATGCTGGCATTTTGGTGTGGGTGAAAGTGCCATAAATGAGCAGAAGTTGCAGATTTGGAAGCCCATATTCTTTGTATGGAGTCATGTGTGTTGGAGGGACATTTGATCCTATTTATAAATAGCTCATCATGGCTCTCTGAAGAAAAAAAAAGAGGGCAGCTGAATTCTTTTAGGAAAAATCTGTAAAACTTCATTTATTGGTGTATCTGCAAACATTAATGTGTTCTCCAATCTAGTTGGTTGCTCTGCAGATAAGGCAAGATGAGCTTCTGATTTTAGAATTGGGACAACATTTCATTTAGCTGAGGGAATAAAACAAATCGGGAAGAAGCATCAAATTAAGCTAAATCCTGCCTCCTATAACTGTTTGTAGGTGAGTTGAGATGAGCATAAAAAGTTGGATCTATACAGATTGTGTTATTAGAAATAAAAATGAAGCTGGTGTCACTTAATATTTAATAGGAAAGCTGTGATAGCCTGTATACACCATTAAGATTGCAAATGAGATTATTCAAGAGCAGGAAATTTGTTCTCTCTGCCTGGTATTCTTGAAGTCCTTGGAATCTATATTTTGTTTTTAGAGGACAAACTGCTGCTTTGGGAAGTCCCAGTGGAGCAGAATTAGCAATTGGTGGGCCTGGAGCTGCAGGAGGAGCCCAGAACTGAAGGGGTCTGTGAGCAGCAAGTTGGGAACTGCATCCAGGTGCTGCTGCCAGGGATGCTCCTCCTGGGGAGTGATGGGGGGGTATGGAAAGCTAAGGATGGCAGCTGGGGACCCTAGAAACAGCAGGTCATCATTTGTTTCTGTTTTGTGTGTGCTGCTTGATTATTTTTAACTATATCCCAAGTTAAAAATAGAGGAGAAATACTCAGGTCTCGGTTACGTCCCAAGTCAGTTAAGCACCAGTCTCCCTGCTTGATATTTCTGTTCCATATGGACAGGTTGCATATGGCTTTTGCAGTGCATGTTTATTAGTCATCTAAGAAAATTACTCGACTTGCTTATGAAGCTTTCCTAATAAACTAACACTTCAGTTTCAAAGTTGTCAGGTGTGTACACACCTGTGCCTAATGTTCATCACAGTGAAAAGCAGCAAACAAAAAGTGTCATAAAAAAAAAAAAAGCTTGGCTTAGTTACCTTGTGCGGACTTATCAGTGTAAGTAAGGAAGTTACATATGGTAGGTATTTCCTTATACAAATAAGAGTATGTGGTTGTTGCTGATTATAAAATGCCCTTGTGATTTACATGACGTTAACCTTCAGCCAGAGATTGCCAGAGAAATCTGAAGATTCTGTAGGCACCTAACTGGAATTTGTTGCATGACCAAGAAAAAAAGAGCCATAATAAATGAGTGAGGAAATAAGTGGAAGTTTAAGAAAACTACACAAGGAGCAATGCAATATTCTGCTTAAGTTTTGCTTTCAGGCTATAAAAGCATTTAACTTGGGCAACATCAACCTGAGCGTCACAAGGGGGATTAAAAGTGAATTTTATTATCACTAGTTTCGTGGAGATAATGTGTATAAAATGTGTGCTAATGTTTGTTGCCAACTTTTCTAAACATGCAGTGGTTTCATAGGTGCAGGATGTTGAAAGTTTCACTTTGCATTGCATATGAGGATGTATAACTGGAGTTGTTGCTAGTAACTAATTAGTGCTGCTTTTCCATAAGGAATCAGTGCTAATATTGGGATGTCACTTGGTGGAAGGGAAACTCCACTTTGTTTAGCTGGTTTGTAGGGATCTGCTGCAGGGCCCGGATTGCAGCTTCCATGCTGGATCCAGCAGGGTTTTTTTCCTTCCTCCGAGGGTTGTGGACTAGGTGAGAGCTCCAGAGTCTCAGTGCAGCCTTTGGGAGCACAGGCCTGTGTTTGCTTCTCCAGTGTGCTGGGCTGAGAGGGGTGAGCTGCCTCAAACACTGGGGTGCTGCTTGGATTGTCCTGCTGGAATTACAGCTCTGGCCCTCGGATATTGAAACATAGTGCCTGGGGCTATTGATTTTTTAAAAAGGTAGAATAGTTCTTAATAGGGAAAATGCCTCAGCACAGTGGAAACAGTCATATTTTACTGATTGGGTGCTATTGATTTAATCCTCCAGTGAAATTGCCAAGATGAAAGTGGTAATCCTGATTAATTCCATATAAATAGATAAGCCTGATTTGTATGTGTACAGTTGCAGGGTTCGGTAGAAAATCTGAAAGCCTGCTTTATATGGTCTATTAGGTGCTTTAATTTCCAGAGGTTTTACCATTTAGTATTCATGCAGAGGAGCATCTTAATTTTACAAAATAAGCAGACTATCAATTTATGATAAATCCTTTTTGCATCAGTTATTTTTTTCTCTCATTAAAGCTGCCCTTACCGAAGGCAGTGAAGGAATTGGAATGTTCTGCTGCTAAACTTTCTTGGGATTTTGGGTAATTCCCTGGAGTGTGTAACAACCACAAGCTGTTTGGTTAGTGCAAAAAGAGAAGAGGTTTAATTTTAATAAAAAGTAATAAATTACTCTAAAGGGATTTTTTTTTTACATCAACACTAAACTTATTGCTCCAGTTATTGCTTCTGAATGTTTTGGGATTAGGTGTATTAGTGGGAAAAAAATTACAGTTAAATCCCTAAAGGTGCTGTTCAGACAGATCTGCCCACCTTGGGAACTCACTGGGGTGCAAATACACAAACTTAGGTGTGTTTTTTGTGTCATCACTGATTCTCATTGCCAGTCTCTGAACTTCCCTGGTTCAGCTTTGGGTTTGCTGTTATGACATGACCAGGACTGAGTATGGCATTTTTGGGAAGGAATATACTGGTCATTCAATCATGTAACAATGTTTTATTTTCCTGTTCCTCTGACACTGTAGTTTTCATAGTTTTCCAGTGAGAAATCTCATTTTAAGTTGATTTAGAAACAGTTAATTGTACAATAGAGAGAGCTTTCT